AACCCCCCGGGGGGCCAGCCCCTGGGCAGCCCCCGCCGGCCGCAGCCCCCAGAGCCCGGCCTCGTCCCCCCCAGCACGCACAGCGCGGGGCTGCCCCAGCGCAAGCCCCGAGCCAGCCGCCAGGAGGGAGCCAGCTCCTGAGGGCACCGCGCTCTCCCCTGCGGTCCGGCGAGGGAGCGAGACTGTAGGAAGCTCCCAGCTAGAGTTGATAACGAAGGAAAGTTTACACTTCTCTGTTCTCATGCCACGGTTCGGTTGGTTTTTTCTTTTCCTTCTCATCCCTTTTTCTCCCCCCCCCTTGTTGTCTGCCGTGTTCTCACGCCTGTGCTGCGCTGTCCCCCTGTGTTCAGCCCTCCCCACGCTCCCCTTTCTTTCACCTTTTCCTTTCCCCTCCGTAAATCCCTGTGGCTCCGACCCCACCATCGGCAGGGGGGGGGCCCCAACACAGCCCCCAGCCTCTTTTTATGTTTCCTGTGTGCCACCACTGGGGGATCACCTCGGAGGAGCCCGTGGCAGCCCTGGCCTCGTGCTGGCAATGAGGCTGAGCGCTGCGAAACGGGGGCTGGAGGTGGTTTTGGGGGAGCCGGGGGCTGCATTTTGGGGGGTCTGGCAGAAATCCAGACCCCTGCCTTCAGGGCATGAGGGGGGGGGACGCGCACCCAGTGTTTGCACCCTTCGCTCCTCTCTCTTCTTGTTATGTTTGGGGGAAAATCTGTTCATTTTTTTCACTTCCCCCCTTCTCGCCTTCCCCTTCCTTCTGCGGCCTCTGTCCCTAAATTAAATTTATAGCAATATCAATTAGCAGAGCTAATCCTAGGCGATGCCAGGTGGGAAGCGCGACGGGTCCTCCTTTAGCCTTGTTCGAATAAAGACGTTCACGTTCACCGCCGCCGTCCGTGCCGTGCTACCGAGGACAGGGCCCCTCTGCCCCCTCCCTCCCCATTGCAGCAGAACGGAGCCTGGTCCCACCTCGGGGGGGCTTTACCGGGGCAGGGGGTGGTGCCGGGGGGGCTCTGGTGCCCATGGGGATGGCACCAATGTGGGGGGCTCCTGGCCAAAAGCTTTCCTGTTTTTTTTTTCCAGCCCCTGTTCCGATGGGATGTGTGAGTGCAGCAGCACTGGGAAGGGGATGGGGGGGGCTCAGAGAGGGTTGGGGGGGATCAGGGAGGAACCTGGGCACACGCTGGGTGACTGGCGCTGCCCCCCCCCGGGGCTGTAAATTCCCTTCCTGCCCTCGCCGTGTCCCCCCCGGGGCTGGCAAGTGGCGGGGGGGGCTGCAGCCCCGGGATCGCCCCCAGTCCCTGGGAAAAGCCCCGGAGAGGGGAGTGGGGAGCCCCCTGCTGGCCTCCCCAGGCTACTCCTATGCAAATTTATGCAAATGAGGCAGCCGGTGCCAATGGGGAGGGGCAAAAATAATTGAGGGGCACACACCCCCCCCCCAGCACAGCCCAGGAGCTCGGGTCCTGTGTCCCCACCCCAGTGACAAACGCAGGGCTGCAGTAAAACACTTTATTACCTGCAGCCTCCAACCCCTGGGGGAGGCCTGGGGGGACGCCCCCCAGCGCCCTGTGTGGGGCCAGGGGGGGCCGCACAGAGCAGCCCCCACCCCCTCCTCACTGCTGGGCCAGCTTGGCCGCCTCCGCCTTGATGAGCGCGATCAGATCCTGGTTGATGAGGAAGACGAAGCGGAGGCTGGCGATCTGCAGGGGGGAGGCAGGGGGTGAGTGAGCCCCCCCCAGGACTCCTGAGCGCCCCCCCGGACCCCTGAGCCCCCCCCTCAGCTCACCTCCACCACCGAGTTGTTGTTGAGCTTCCACTTGTTGCCCCCGAGCACGGGCCGCCCGTCGATGTAGATGGGGCGCCGGCCCTCGTTAGCGATGAAGAAATCCCCAGTTGTTCTTCAGTTTGATGACCCCTGGAGGGGGAGCAGCAGCGCGTGAGGGGGAACACACCCAGAAACCCCCTCCCAAAAAAAGCAGCTCGGCCCCGTTCCCACCTTGCTTGCGGGAGATCTTCCAGGCCGGGCCCTCCAGCGCCAGGTCCACGTCGATCTGGTTGTCCTTGGTGGCTCTGCCCAGCGTGATCTGGGGAGGGGAGAGCGAGGGGAGGCTGGGGGGGCTCCCGGGGCTGGGGGGGCTCCCGGGGGCTGGGGGGGTTTCCCCTGGGGGGGGCTCAGCCCCACACTCACCTCCCGCGAGCGCATGAGGTAGCGCACCATGCGGCCCCGCAGCACGGCCAGCGTCTGACTGTCGAAGTCCGGGGAGCTCATGCCTGGGGGGGAGGAGAGGGAAGATTTTGAGGGGGGGGGAGCAGACGGATGGAAGGACGGACAGACAGACGGATGGACAGGACGGATGGACAGACAGAAAAACCAGCCGCTCCCAGCTCTCACCCGTGATGCTGTCGACCAGCACCTGCCACTTGTGCAGCTCCTGCTCCAGCTGCCGGATCTCCCGCTTCTGGCGCCGGTCGGCCACAGTCAGCTCTGGGGAGAGAGGGAGAAGGGAGCTGGGGGGGGGACACCTGACCCCCACCAACCCCCCCAGACCTCCCCGTGCTGATTTAGGCTCCCCCCCATGCCTCCCCCCAACTAATTTGGGCCACCCAGATCCAGCAGCATGGCCAGGGAGTGGGCTGCACTCACCGTGCTCCAGCACCTCATCCCGCACGTCCCTGCAGAAGAGAAGAGGCAGGATCAGACACGGCCCCCCCAGAGCCCCCCCCCAGCACCCTCCTCTGCGCCCCAGGACCCCCCCCCAAACCTCACTTCAGCTTGCTGTCATCCAGCATGTCCTCAGCGTCCTGAGAAGTTGAGCACTTGGTCCCCTTTGGGCAGCGGCTGTACTGGAAGGCGCAGGAGGGGAGGGAGTGAGGGGTGCAGAGGTAGAGCGTTTTTTTGGGGGGGGGGCACGGGGGGGGGACGCGGGGCTCACCGGTCTGGTCGTCCAGCAGGTAGTACTGCTTCATGAGCTGCCAGTGCAGCTGCAGGGCCTTGGCCGTCCGCGAGGGGTAGAAGACGTCGGGGTGCTTGTGGAGGAGCTCCTGGAAGGTGTCGAGCGTGGGCTGGCTGCTCTGCGGGGGGGAACAAGGGACACGTGGCACCGAGGACACCCCTCAGGAGGGGGAGATGCCAGCCTGGAGCCCCCCCAGCCCATAAAAAACCCCCAGCCCTGCCGTCTCTTACCGATCCCACCTTGTTCAGCAGCTGCTCCTCGGCTTTGCTGAACAGCACCTTGCTCTGGATGGCGGCGATGGCCTCGGGGTGAAGCTGCCGCATGGCCTGGCAAGCCAGCCTTGGGGGGGGGCACAGAGTAAGAGCCCCTGCAGCCCCCCCAGGGGTGGCGCTGCCCCCCCAGGCCCGGTCCCGTGCTCACTTGGAGATGATGGGGTCGTAGAGCAGCGCGTACCAGCGCTCCTGGATCTCCCGCAGGTTGAAGCGGCAGCTGAACTTCACGCCCAAGTGCACCGAGGTGAGGTCGTTGGTCTGGGAAAGCCCCCGGGTGAGGGCACGGCTCCAGCCGGGGGCTGCGGAACCCCCCCACGCCCCATCCACCGAGACCCCGGGGAGAGCCGGGGCCGTTACCTGCAGCACGGCGTTGATGAGCAGGAGGTCATCGGCAGGTTTCCAGCGGCCCAGGTCCTTCGTCACCTGCAGGGGCTGCTTGCTCTTCTTCATCCGCTTGGCGAGGCCGGGCGTCGGGACGGGGCTGGGCGCCACGGGGGCGGACACGGACTTGGAGACCTGGGCGGGCAGCGAGGGGCGTTGGGGGTCTCTGCCACACCCCCCCGGGTGCCCCGAAACGCCCCCCGCTGCCTCCTCACCTTCTTCTTCTCGCTGGACGAGGGCTCGCTGCCCGAGCAGCGCCCCGGCTCCACGCCGCCGGCACCCTTGGCCCGGCTGGAGGACTTGGCCAGGCTGCTCTCTACCAGCTCATCGTCGAATTTCTTCCTCTTGATGAACCTGCAGGGCACGAGGCGGCTCTGGCCCCTGCCGCCCCCTCCCCTTCCTGGGGCTGGATCCAGCCCCGTGCCCCCCTCAACCCCCCCCCCCCAGCCCCCCGGTACCGTACCGTGAGGAGCTGCGGCGCTTCGGGATGGCGCCCGAGGCCTGGGCCAAGCCCCGCTTCTGCCCCGCCAGCGACTCCTCGTCCTCGGAGCGGCTCGCCGCGCCCGACGCCATCAGGTCGGGGGACAGCACCTCTGGGGGGGGGCAGGGGGAGACGGTCCGCGGCTGGCACCGGGGACCGGACCGGGGAGGGGGACCGGGGGGTGGCTCGGACCCGTTACAGGGGCTGGGGGGGGACCTGGGGGAGACCGGGGAGGAGACAGGAGGTCTGGGGGGTCGGGGGGTGCCGGGGGTGGATTGGGGGGGTTGGGGGAGGACACGGGAGGGGCCGGGGGGGAGGGGGGCGGGGAACCGGGGAGGTCCCGGGGGGGTTCGGAAGGGCTCGGACCCGTTACAGGGGCCGGGAAGGGACCGGGGGGGGACACGCGAGGTCCTGGAGGGGGGCAACGGGGGGGTCCTGGGAGGGCCCGGGGGGAGGGCGGGGGAACCGGGGAGGTCCGGGGAGCACCGGAGGGAACCTGGAGGGGACCGGGGGACCCTGGGGGGGCCAAACGGGGTCCCGGGGGGGTCCCGAGGGAATGAGGGGGGGCGAAGGGCACGGGGGGGGCACCCGCGGGGCCCCTCGGGCCGCAGCCCGGCCCCGCTCTCACCATCCCCGGGAGCGGCGGCGGCTCCGCGACGGCCTCGGCCTGGGCGCCTCCATGGACGGGCCGCTTCCGGGTGGCGGCGGAAGCGGTTCTGACGTCAGCCGCAAGGCAGCGCGTGTCGCCAGCCCGGCGCCATCTTGGGTCAGGGCGCCGCCATCTTGCTTGCGGGCAGGGCCGCGGCCCTGCTTTCCCCGAGGCGCTGTTGCCGATGAGGGCCGACCGGGGGGGACGGGGACAGGCCCGGGGACAGGGGCACAGGGCCCTCGGTGTCCCCACAATGAGGGCTCCGCGCGGCCACGGCAGAGGAAACGGCCGCACCCATCATGGCCGCTCCCAGAGCCCGCCGCCACACCCATCATGGCGGCGCCCGCTGGGGCCCCTCCCCGCCACACCCATCATGGCCGCCCCCAGCCGCCACACCCATCATGGCGGCGCCCACCACAGCCGCCCCCAACATGGCGGCGCTGCCCCCCCCTCGCAGCCCGGGACCCCCCCGGCCGCCCCCCGCTCCCTGCTGGGACCTGGGACCCCCGAACCCCGGCGGGGGGACCCTGGGGGGGGCTCGAAGGGACGACACGGGGCGGGGTCGGGGGGGGCTGCTCCGTTTATTGGGGGGCATCGGGCGACGCTGGGCGCTGGGCAGGCCCCGGGGGCAGGGGCGGCCTCATAGGAGGGGGCGCTGAGGGGTCCGGCTGGGCCCAGGGGGCTGAGGGGGCCTGGGGAGGAGGCAGCCCCTTGGGGACACGCCAGACCCTGGGGATGAGCCATCCCTGGGGACAAGCCAACACTCTGGGGACAAGTTATTCCTCTGGGGACACTGCCAGCCCCTTGGGGACAAGCCAGCCTTTTGGGGACAAGCCAACCCTCTGGGGACACGCCATCCCCCTGGGATAAGCCAACCCTCTGGGGACAAGCCAGCCCCCTGGGGCCGAGCCATCCCTCTAGGGATAAGCCATCCCCTAGGGACCAGCCAGCCCCTCACAGGATGGGGCCATCCCTGTAGGGCTGAGCTGTCCCCTTGGGGACAAGCCATCCCCCTGGGGTCAAGAGACAGCCTGCAGCGGAGCCGTCCCCGGGGCCCCTGTCCCACTGCGAGCAGTTCCTGGGTGTGCCTGGCCGAGGCAGGCGAGCTGCTGGCACACACACGTGCGTGTCCCCACGCGTTGCCAGAGGGTCCTTTTTTGGGGCACGGCCAGCAGGGCCGGGGGGGGCTCCGTGTCCCGCGTCCCCCCGCTGGGGTCGGCAGCCCCAGGGCTACGCCTGAGCTGGGGGTGACATGCCCGTCGCTGGCCTCGCTCCAGTTCACAGCCCACTCCTTCCTCTGGATGGTGCCCATCTTCTCCTCGCGGTACTGCTGCCGCTCCTCCCGCGGGATCTTGACGGCGTGGTACTGCGGCACGGCCGGCGGCGCGTAGCGTGCCCGGCGGAAGAAACCGAGCTGCGGGGAGCAGGGGGTCAGTCCCGGAGGCTGGGGGCAGCGCCTGGCTGTGGCTCGGGCAGCCAGGCGGCATCGGGTCCGGCTCCACAGTGCTCACAGCTCTGCGCTCCCCCCAGACGTCACCTGCGGGGGCACGCACGTTGCAGCGGCGCTGCAAACCCTCGCACATCTGTGTGCCGGCACGGCACGGGCTGGCTCAGCACCTGCAAACCCTGGCACGGCCATGCACCAGCAGCACTGCAGGCTCCTGCCCTGCCACCCCGCCGCTGCAAACCTGCATTTGGTGCTGCAAACCCTCGCACAGCCACACGCCCGCCCTGCAAATCCTCACACACTCATGCAGCAGCACTGCAAACCCTCGCACAACCACGCAGCAGCACTGCAAACCCTCGCTCCCTGCTGCCCGGACACTGCAAACCCTCTTTCTGCCCGCCCCACTTGCTCAATCCCTCTCACAGCCGCATGCAGACACCGCAAGCCCTCATCCCCCCGCCTGGGCACACCGCACTCCTTCGCACACCCGTGCAGGGGGGGCTGTGCGCCCGTGCGCACCCGTGCTGGCTGCTGCCGGCCCGGGGAGCCGGCCCCGCGTTACCGCTGGCCCTCCAGAGCCTGCTTGTCCGCCTCGGAGGGCTGCAGCCTCCGGCGGGCCCGGTAATAATTAGTGGTGTAGCGGGAGGTTTGGCTGCTCCGCTTGAAGAAGCCGCACTGGGGAGGAAGTGAGAAGGTGAGGCTGGGCACGGCACAGCGTGGCACGGCACTGGTCATGGCATGGCACGGCGCAGCAGTGGCCCAGCAGCACGGCGTGGCATGACACGGTAGGGGTAGCACGGCACGGCCAGGGTGGTCCAGCACTGGCACGGCACCCTCAGAGCACCCCGTGCCACGGGGAGGGGACACGTCCTGCCGCAGGGACCCCGTCCCCCTCGCTCACCTTCCAGAGGATGAAGACCAGCAGGGCCAGGACGAGGATGCCAGCCAGCACGGCCAGGAGGATGACCCACCAGGGCACGCCGCCGGCCACCGCCACACCGGGGTCCAAGTAGATGGTGACGGGGATCTGGGGACGGCAGCGTGGGTCAGGGGGTGGCGGGGAGGGCACCAGGTGCCGGGGGCGTGGGGTCAGACCTGCGTGGAGGCGTCCTTCAGCACCAGGTTCTTGATGGAGGAGGTCACCGAGACGCTGGCGCGCACGATCAGCTCCACCGAGGTGACGGCCAGGAACTCCTGCAGCGGGGACACCACGAGACAGGGCTTGTCCTTGTCCCCATCCCCAGTCCCCATCCCCGTCCCCGTTCCCTTTTTACCTCCAGGAAGGTGCTGTTCCAGAGCCGCCCGCGGGCAGTGAGCACGGCGGCGCGCTCGAAGCTGTGCAGCGGGCAGCGGAACTGCCAGGCAGCGCGCGGTGCCCTGGGCACAGTCCTGAGGGGACGGGGGGGGTCACAGCGTGGCCACGCACCCCGGGACCACCCCAGGACTGGGAGCACCCCGATAGCAGGAGCACCCCAGCCCCGCTCACCAGTGTCACGTTCTTTTTCCTTTCTGCAGGTGCTGGCACCCGCCAGGACCCCGCAGGCGGGCGCTTCGGCGAGCTCAGTGTCCCCTGGCGGCTCCTGGGGGACAAAGGACTGGCATGGAGAGGGGACAGCCCCCCCCCGCCCATCATCCCACTCCACCCCCCCGCCGTACCAGGGTCAGCTAGCAGTGGGTTGGCAGCGGGGCTGCAGGACGCCCGCGGCCCCGGTGCCGCCGCCAGCTCCAGCTGCAGCGGGTACAGCAGCCACTTCCCATTGCTGATCTCGTGGGGCCACTGCAGCGTGAGGAAGGCCGAGCCCAGCGTCTTCAGCGACTGGCCCCGGTTGGAGACCTGCATGGGATGGGGTGTGAATGGGAGCGGGGGGGTCGGGGGGCACGGCTGAAACCCCCCCCCAAAGCCCTCCAGACTCACCGTCACCTCGAAGCGCACGGCGCTGCCCACTTGGCTCTCCCGCCGCACCGCGCTCTCGCCCCGCACCACCCCGCCGAAAAAGAGCCGGGGGGGCACGGCCACGCTGCGGGGACACAGTGGGGGGGGTCAGGGGGATGTGGAGAGGAGGGGGGGGGGCCCAGCACCCGCCCCGCTGCCACTCACCCCTGTCACCTGAGAGAGGCAGCTCGATGACCACGCGCGCCCGAGCCACCACCGGCTCCAGCCCCGGCTGCTCGCTGATCCTGGGGAAATTATGGGGGTCGTGGGGGGGGGACATCGCTCTGAGCCCACCCCCACGCCACCTGCAGGAGCCCCCGCCACCCTCCCCAGCTCACGTGGACAGGGCCAGCTCCACCGCCAGGTCCGTGGTCTGGAGGGTGATGCCCAGGGTGCTGAGGATGAGGTAGAAACGCACCTGGGGGCACAGGGCGAGGGTTGGGGCCGGGGATCCCGGGGGGGGGTTGTTGTGGGGGGGGGGCTCAGGGAGCTGCACCCACCTGGGCTCCACGTTTCAGGGGGTTCCCCAGCTCGCACTCCACCTGCGAGCCGTTCTGGTTGGCGAGGCAAACCACCGGCTTGTCCTGGGGGCAGAGAGTGGGGACCTGCTGCGGGCACTCCCCATCCCCAAACCCCCGGAACCAGCCCCACCCCAAACCCCAGCACCTCTGGGACCAGCCCTGTCCCAAACCCCAGAACCTTTGGGACCAGCCCCATCCCAAACCCCAGAACCTCTGGGACTAGCCCCATCCCAACCCCCAACATCTCTGGGACCAGCCCCGTCCCAAACCCTAGCACCTATGGGACCAGCCCCGTCCCAAACCTCAGCATCTCTGGGACCAGCCCCACCCCAAACCCCAGAACCTTTGGGACCAGCCCCGTCCCAAACCCCAACACCTTTGGGACCAGCCCCGTCCCAAACCCCAGCATCCCCAAGGACCAGCCCCGTCCCAAACCCCAGCACCTCTGGGACCAGCCCCACCCCAAACCCCAGCCCCCCAAAACTCCCCCCGCATCCATCCCCATCCCACCCCCTCAGCACCCTCAGGCCCATCCCCATCCCTCTGCATCCCTGCGCCCCCCAGGTCCATCCCCACGGCTCCGCACCCCCAAATCCCCCCTCCCTCACCCCCCACCCATCCCCTGCCGCACCGAGGGTGCCCGGCCGTCATAGGGGCGCACGGCGGAGTAGGGCAGCTCCTCGGGGAAGGTGGCGGTGAGCACGGCCTCGTGGGCATCGTCCCCATCCCGCTGCGGCTCCGCAGGGGTCCGAGGGCAGGTTGGTGACGTGGATCTCCAGGGCCACGTCCTTCTGGTCGCTCATGGCGAAGATGGCAGTGCCGTCCTCACCCCTGGGGGGTGGGGGGACAACAGCCCCAGTGAGCCCCCGCCGGGCGTCCCCTCCACCCCGTGGGGTGAGGATGTGTGGGGTGGGGGGGACGCCCACCTGGGCAGGGGCACGAAATCGGCATCCCCCAGGCGGGCGCAGAACTGGAAGTGCAGCTGCAGGTTGCTCTGGCAGATTTTGTCGTCCCCGCAGCCCTGCTTCAGAAAGTGAACCTGCGGGGGGGGGGGACAAGGGACACACACAGCAGGCTCAGGGACACCTCAAGGGAGGCAGAACCCCCCCCCCCCATCAAGCTGGCCCCGAGCAGGACGGCTCCTCACCTCGGTGCGCTGGCTGCTGGGCTGCTGGGGGCTGAGCACGGGGGACAGGGGGGGCAGGGCGGCCCCCCGGCTGTGCCGCGTCGCCCCCCGGCTGTGCCGTGTGGCCCCCCGGCTGTGCTGCGTCGCCCCCGGCCCCCTGGATGCCGTAGGCGAGGGTGACAGCGATGGGGCGCAGCTTGTCACGGATGCTGTCCTGGGGACAGTGAGAGAGAGGGTGAGGGAGAGGGGGGACAGGGAATGGGGACGGGGGTGGGACAGGGATGGGACAGGGATGAGGACAAGGACAGGGATGGCACAGGGATGAGGATGGGTTGGGGACAGGGATGGGAAAAGGATGGGACAGGGATGAGGACAGGGACAGGGATGGCACAGGGATGGGGATGGGAAGAGGATGAGGATGGGATGGGGATGGCACAGGCATGGGAACGGGGACAGGGATGGGATGGAGACGGCACAGGATGGAACAAGGTTGGGGACAGGGATGGGAAGGAGGACAGGGATGGGGCAGAGTTGGCACAGGGATGAGGACAGGGAAGGGGAAGGGACACGGATGGGGACAGGAGCAGGACAGGGATGGAGACGGGTCTGTGAATGGGACGGATTTGGTGACGAGGACGGGGACAGGGACACAATGGGGACAAGGACAGGAACAGGGACATGGACGGGGACATTGATGGGGACAGGGACGGGACAGGATGGGACAGGGATGGGACAGGGAGCCACCTGGAGCTGGAAGGTGGCTTTGACGCAGGCGCGGGCAGTGCTGCCGGGGCAGCTCCACGGTGTGGGAGAACTGGTGCTCGGGGTCCGAGGGCCGGCGGCCGAGGAAGGCGACGCGGGGGGCATGGCCCAGCCGCCGCCGCTCCGTGTCGGCATCGAAGACGTATTCCAGCACTGGGGGCAGAGGGACGGGGCCATGCCAGGGGTCCCCATCACCCCACAGGGGTCCCATCCCCTCTGTGGGGGACACGCAGCCCCCCCAGGACCCCCCCAGCCCCTCCACCCGTCCCCACTCACCGAGGGGGGGGCTGTAGCTGGCCGGGCTGGCCGTGTAGCTGAAGCAGGCTCTGACGTCCACGCTATGGGGGCGTGGGGCAGAAGTGGGGTGAGATGGGGGGGCCCCGAACACCCCCTTCGCCCCCTCCCCGGCCATGTGGCACCCACCAGACGCCCTCCTGGTGCTGGCAGTTGCTCTGCTCCAGGTCGATGTTGGGGGGAACCAGGGAGACGTTCCTGGAGACGTGCACCACGGGGCGAGCCCTGCGGGGGGGGGAGCACGGTGGTGTCGGGATGGGACCCACCGGGGGCACCCCCAAAGTGCAGCAGCCCCTGCACGGGACCCCCCGGCTGTGCCAGGGGATGGGGGGAGTCTGAGGTGGGGGCGTGGGGGGAGCTGGGGAGGGGGGATGATGCTTAGGGACAGGGGATGCTGTGGGTTAGGGGATGCTGCAGGGATGGGGGATGCTTGGGGTTACGGGGTGCTTGGGATCAGGGGATGGTTGGGGTTACATGATGCTTGGGGTTAGGGGATCCTTGGGGTTAGGGGATGTGCAGGGACAGGGGATGCTCAGGGTTAGGAGATGCACAGGGATGGGGGATGCTCAGGGTTATGGGGTGCTTAGGATCAGGTGATGCTTGGGGTTAGGGGATGCTTGGGGTTAGGGGATGCACAAGGACGGGGGATGTTTGGGGTTAGGGGACCCTTGGTTTTAGGGGATGCTTGGGGTTAGGGGATGTGCAAGGATGGGGGATGCTCAGGGTTACGGGGTCCTTGGGATCAGGGGATGCTCAGGGTTAGGGGATACTTGGGGTTACGGGATGCTCAGGTTTATGGGATGATCGGGATCAGGAGTTGCTCAGGGACAGGGGATGCTCGGGGATAGGGGCTGTTTGGGATCAGGGGATGCTTGGGGATTTGGGTGCCCTATTTGGGGCTGGGGGTGCCCACGGCGGGCGCTCACCTGTACAGCACCACGGTGTCAGAGAGGGAGCCCACGAGCAGGTCGGGGTAGAGGTTCCCATCCACATCCAGCCCCCCCGAGAGCGCGTACCCGAAGGCCGTCACCCCCACGCCCTCCCCGTCCAGGACCTGGGGACAAGGACGGCTGTGACGCTGGGAACCGGCAGCGGGGGGGCACTGGAGAACTTCCCCCCCCCCCGACCCCAATCCCTCACCTGCGCCGGCTTGGCCACGATGCCCAGGTTGCTGCCGTGGTAGATGTAAACCTTGCCAGCGCCATCAAAGGGGGCTCCCACGGCCAGATCTGGGGGGGAAGAAGCGGTGAGGGGGGGGACGCAGCAGCACCCAGGGGACCCCAGAGTCCCCCCCCAGCGCCCCTCACCCTCGAAGCCGTCCTGGTTGAGGTCCCCGGCAGCGCCCAGGGCGATGCCGAACATGGAGCCGCGGGTGCCGTTGAGGCGCAGGGGGGCGGCGGCGTCCCAGTGCCCCGCGGGGTTGATGTAGACGTAGGCGGCCCCCCCGATCTCCTCCTTGCGCTCAAAGAAGTGGGGGGCCGCCAGACCCACCTACCCTCCCCTATAACATCTTACCAACTCTCCCCAACCCGCCTAACACCCCACCTCCATACCGGACCCCCTTATCCTCCCCTATAACACCTCAGCAGCTCTCCCTGCCCCATAACACCCCCCCGTTACCCCCCAACCCCCCCCATCCTCACCTTTCTCGCCCACCTCCTCCCGCACCCACTCTGCGGCGCGCTGGATGCTGTCGGAGCGGGTGACGTCCAGCAGGGTGGTGCGGAGGTGCCCGGCGCAGCCCCGCTGCAACCCCTCGGCCCCTTTTGGGGTCAGGCAAGCTGCCAGCACCCGGTAGCCCCTCCGGGCCAGCCGCCGGGCCAGCAGGTTGCCGAAACCGCTGTCGCAGCCGGTGATGAAGACGTGCTTGTCCTGCACGCTCGGCAGCCGCGCCGGTCCCGCAGCAGCCAGCCCAGCGCCCAGGCCAGCGCCCCAGCAAGAGGACGGCCACATGGTGGGGAGGGACGGGGGGGGGCCTGTGGGGAACCCCCCCAACCCCACCCCAGCTCAATGGCTGCACCCCGGGGCCGGGCACAGGCTCCCAAAGCTGTGCCCCCCCCCCATCAAACCGCTCCCCGGGTGCCCTGCCCCGTGCCATGGGGTCAGAGCCCCCCCCCCCCCCCCCAAATTGCAAAGGGGGGGCTGGGGGTTCGGGCTCGGTGCCCACCCCATGTCCCAGTGCCCTGGGGTAATGGGGGGGGTCCCTGCCCTGCTGCCCCCCCCCAATGCTCTAAGTGACCCCCCCCCGAGGTTGTAGCATGACAGGGATTAGCTGGGTGCAGGGGGTCAGCACTTGGCCGTGATCTGGGGGGGGGTCCCAGCTGCTCCCCCCACCCCAACTCAGCCCCAGCCCACAGCAGGGACACCCCCGCACCCCCCCCCCCTCCCAACCCACAAAGAGGGGCCCCTCATGCCCTGTCTGTGTCCTGTACCCCCCCCCAAATAGAAGCCCTATGGGGCTGTGCCCCCCCCCCCCCAGCCCTATTTATGGGGGCTTTGTGGTGCCACACTGCCCCCCCAAAAAAAAACCCTCTCTATAGGGTTGGGACAGGGGGGTCCAGGGTGCCCCCCCAAGGCAGGAGCCCCCCAAAGTGCCCTATGGGGTCAGGGGGAGCAGCCAGCACCACCCTGGGTCCCCAGCACCTGGGGGGAGGGCAGACAGAGGCTGAGCTGCCCCATGGGGGGGGGACACGGGGGGGGCACCTACCTTTGGGGGCAGCAGGCTCCAGGCACAGCGGCAGCAGCAGCGACAGCCTGGTCTGAGCCGGGGGGGGCGGCTGCAGCCGCTCCTCCCCTGGGGCTTGGGGCCAAAGCCGGTGCTGGGGGCCCCATGGGGGCCTGGAGGGGTTGTGGAGGGGGGGGGGACAGGACCCGCTGCCCCCCCACCCCCCCCATCCCTCAAGGATTAGCGCCCCGAAGGCGCCTTTTGTCCGGAGAAAAAGGGGCCTCAGAGCCGGGTTTAGCCTTAAAGAGGATGAGGGGGCTTAGGGGGGGCAGCCGGGGCCGCGCCGCCCCTCGCTGCGGCTTTATTCGGTGTTTTTTTTTTTTTGGGGGGGGGGGGGCACACCCCCGGGGGGGGGTTGTCAGGAGCAGGCGGGCTGCAGCTGCCCCTTGTAGACGTACTCCAGCGCCGTGGCGATGGTGCGCATGTCCAGCTCATGCTGCGCGCCCAGTTCTCCACGTCGCCGATCTCCTGTTGATGGGGGGGGGTGTAAAAAACAAGGGGGGGGTCAGGGTGCTGCTGGAGGGGGTTGGGGGGTCCCGGGGGGGGTCCCGCACCCACCTTGAGGGCCTGGTTGAAGTTCTCCACCATGGTGATCCACTGCCCCGTCTGCTTGGCGAACTGCGCTGCCTGCGCCTGCAGCGTCTTCACCTCCTGGTCCAGCTTGCGCTGGTTGACGTAGGCCTGGGCCACCCTATGGGGGGGTGGGGGGCAGGGGGGGGGATTTGGGGTCGGGTTAATGGGGGTCAACGGGATGATGGGGGTCAATGGGGGATATGGGGGGAATGGGGGGTAATGGGGGGGGTTAATGGGGGGTTAATGGGGGGGTTAATGGGGGATATGGGGGTCAATGGGGGGGTTAATGTGGATGGGGGTGATATGGGGGTCAACGGGGGGTGATGGGGGATTAATGGGGGGTAATGGGGGGTGTAATGGGGGGGGTTAAGGTCAAGGGGGGTCAATGGGGGTGATTAACGTGGGGGGTGAAGGGGGATATGGAGGTCAACAGGGGGTGAGGGGGTTTAATGGGGGTGACGGGATATGGGGGGTAATGGGGGTCAATGGGGGGGTTAATGGGGGTGAGGGGTGATATGGGGGTCAGTGAGAGGTGAGGGGGGATATCGAGGTCAAAGGGGGGTGATGGGGTCAACGGGGGGGTTAATGGGGGGTGGGGGGATATGGGGGTAATGGGGGGGTTAATGGGGGTAGGATGGGGGGTAATGGGGGTGGGGTCAATTGGGGGTATGGGGTAATGGATGGAATATGGGGGATTAATGGGGGTCAACGGGGGTGATGGGGTCCAGGGGGTATATTGAATTTGGGGGAAATGGGGGAA